AAAAAAAAAAAAAGTCCGAGATATCGTACGTTCCTGAGTTGCGAACGCCAGGAAATAACAGAAGAAGAACACCAAAAATATCATGTATGATGTCTATATACATTTCATAGGCAATTTATGTGTCACCCGCAATTTTACTCTTTGCAACATCATCTTAAATAGATACATAAAGGGAGAAGAACCAATGAAATGTGTATCTAATTACTTTGTTTCCACGGCTTCGAATAGTTCTCGCCACTTTTGCTGATCGCTTCCCGGTCCTTCTCCCTGCAAAAAATGCTAGGAGTTTTAGCCAAAGGACTTCCTTTTTAACATGACAAAGTGGTATTCTCTTGAGAGGCATTGTTCACCATAGCCAACATGTAATTTTAATGCAATCTTGGGAGAATTACCTCAATTGAGTTGATTTCGTAAATTTTGCCCCGAGTGAATTCTATGTCCAACGCTTGTATGCAAGCTTCAGCTACAACAAGTCTGCTGACCTCACCAACTAGTTTATCCCCTGAGACCAAATTTGTTAAACAAAATGAGGTATGCATATATAAAAGATGGTTAATCATATTAATCTGGTTTCAAAAGCCCTAATCAGGAGTTAGGAGATTTAGAGAACATTAGCATGAAAACCACCTATTCTATTTACGCATTATTTTATGCTTTAATTTGTGATCTGTTCTTTTTTGCTGCAAAAATCCATTTTCTACCATGGTATGATACTACAGGAAAGTGATTAGGCCTCATGAATTGTTCTCGTAGTCTATACAATGGCAGTTGTTTCTTTTTTTCCTTAAAAAGAAATGTTCTAACTTGTATTATTTCAAACAACATACCTCGACCGATAAGAACTGCGCGCCGTTGCCCGGCGGTAGCTTTAAGCAAAGTATTTAGATCATATGATGTGTAGGGACCATCCGTCAATCTTCCAGCTCTGTATAGATATAAACAAGAAATAAGCAAAAATGTAAGATTATGCAGAAACTTTCTGCTAAGCTGGATCTCATTCAATTTTCATTATGATAAATTTTGGTCTCTCAAACGAACCTGATGATTGAAAATGGTAGACCAGAATTTTGGAGAAAATCCTCCCCCATCTTCTTGTATTTGAGAACACCAAAAAGGTTCATGATGCTATTAATTTTGTGAAAAAGAAATTCTCATTAATTTTGTGAAAGTGCAACAAAGAGATTGAGTAGTGGTTATCAATTACCAAAAAAGAGACCACGACGATTAGGATTTAAAGAATTCAATTAAATGGGTCAAACTTCAGTTTGTGCACATGATCACAAAA